TTTTTTTTTTTTTTTTTTTTTTTTTTTTTTTTTTTTTTTTTTTTTTTTAATTAAAAAGTATAATTGTGACTGATATTCACACTGAATATATAAAACCATATAATTAATTCTCTGTAGTCCAATATAGAATTGTCTTTCGTATTTTGTTTTATTTTTTATTTTTTTTCTAATTTTAATATCTTATATAATTATAAATATGCATAAAATAGATAACATACATATAATAAAAATAATTTGAAACAAGTTGGTATCTATTATTTGGACTACAAAGAATTAATGTCCTTAAATATTTATAAAAAGTGAAAAGAAGAAATAAATTAATTACAGTCAAAGATAAATTTAAAAACTACTATTCAGTAATGTAAGATTTGAAACGAAGGCTGGAATTACAAAAAATGAAGATGATACAATGTGCAATGAAACGGTATATAATAACAATAAAATGTCTCTTTCAAATCGTATCCACGTTTTCAATGAAGGAGTAAATCATATTTCCTTCTGACAATTATTTGTCAATGCTTTTTTATGTTAAAATACAATATTGTGGTCATTAGTTATTTATGATATTATACCTTCCTTGGAAACGCGTCAATGATAAATTACTGCGGAAATCTTCATATCAGTTTAGCAAAGATGACAACCAGACGAGAGAACCAGTCTTTGAGATTATTTATTAACAGGCGTCCTGATTTGATATGGCTGCCTCTAGTCAGGACACCTTTCTACGCTCAGAGAAACAAATATTATTTAAATTGATATTAGATTTTGAGATATAATTTATATAATTAGTAACGTTGGAATGTATTTATTTTGAAATTTATATCTTTTTTATTAAATCTGTCATAAATTTAACTTATTGTAGAATTTGTTGTAGAATATTAGACTCTAAATTCTATAATACATAATTTTTAAAATATGATTTTTCACTATGCTTTTTATTTTCTTTTTAAATAATCAAAGTCTCATCATAGAATAAAATAATAAATATATGAAAAATTGACATCAAGTTGTTTTTTTTATAAAATAAAATAAAATAAAATATTTTTATAAAAAAATAAAATTTTCATAAAATATTAATAAAAAATAGATATCTAATCTAATCAAATATTTTTGGACTCAATTATGTATGAACTTGGAGTCTTATTTCAAATTCTACATAGATTTTTCAAATTTTTTTCTCCAGATAAATATGAAAAAATATTTTTGAAATAAAAAACACTGCATTGCTCTCTGAGCAATGTTTGGTTCTCTTGGAATAAGAAGTCATCGTTGTGAAGACTGAGGATCCGTTCTAGATGCGGTTAAACCTGAGCGGGTTTCGACTTGCCAACGACCAGTATTATTTTCTGCAGGAACTTTGTGATGCTTACTGAAAACAACAATTATAATTATTTAGTTTTTCAATTCATATTAAATTGTGCGTTCCAGAAAAAGATGGTTAGTAAAAATCCTAATGTAGTGTCGTCAAATATTGAAAATAATTTTAATTTTCTTTTTTTAAATTTAATAATTTTTATTTTCAAGAATTTCAACTTATTGTTTTAAATAAGAGATAATTTAAGATTAATTCAAAATTATAACTCAATGGATTTCAAAATCAATTGACGACACTACGACCGAAAAATTAAAAAAATCTGCAGTCGGACTTTGTTATACCAATTTCATAATCAATAATTAGTCATAATTAATAACGATACTCTGTATAAGAGCACTGTACGAGTAGTGTGCGTGATACTGATTATGTGAGTGCAACATGCAAACGTAAAAAAGAATAATGTTGAGCAAATTCAGACGAAATACAATTTAAAAAATTTTACTGAAAATTTCAACATTTGAAGAAAACCATATTATGAAGATTTATTATTAAAAAAAAATATTGATAAAATATTTTTTTCTTAAATAATTAAACATTATGAATATGAAAATTATAATACACTAAAAAAACTACATAAGATGATAAGACTGATATTTAAAAATATATACATTACTCATAAAAATTATACTTGTAAAATAAAATAATAATAATAATAAACATGCATGATAATTGAAGAACAATAAGCTTAGGCGAATCGATGTTAAAAATTAATAAATGCTAAACATGCGTGACATGAAGAGAATTAAATTATGTTAAAGTGTATCTTTTCTTTTTTGAACCTTAGTCTTTGGTCCGACGACTACCATCATCTTCTGCAATGTTTTGGTAACGGCGCCTGCGGGAATAGATTGCAATTAAACAGAAACGGAACAAAAAATCCTATTTTTTTTTTTTCAATAACTTAACATAAAGATAACTTAAGAAAAACTATAAAAACTCAACTATAACTATCAAACTAATTCAGTTTATCAAAATAACCAATTGGATATTTTTCTTTGTTAATAGAACCACAGACTAAAACAGATCATCAGTGCTAATATAAAAAGAATTATGCGTCTATAAAAAATCTCTGATTTTTCGCACGATTCAAATTTGAAATACAAAATTCCATAAGATATTAGGTCTATTCTGTATCTTATTTGTAATGGAATTTTTTCTTCTAATAAATTTATTTAACTTATACTTACCGACTCCTTTCTGGAAGAATTTTGGTTTATTTTTCCACGCGATAAATATAAAATATACAGGTATGGATGAGAAGATCATCAAGCAACCATATCCTAAAAGAAATCAAATTTATTTTAAATTAAATATATCCATCGAATAAAGTATTATAAAAAATTTTTCCAAATGAAATATACCTGTTTCCACAGGACTGGCGTACATGGGTACAATAGTTACAAAGAGAGTTGCAAGGATGTAGATTATGGGGAAGAAAAGATTCACTTTGATAGGTCTAGACAAATTCGGCTGGGACCATCTCAACCATGGTAGGCATAAAACAGAGACACCTATACTTAACTGCAATAAAAAAAAGTATTCCATTTTTTATATTTTTTTACATTTTTTAAATAAAATTCAAAATATTTTAATATCATCAATTTTTTATTTTCATCTATTGTATTTTTCCTTATTTTTCTAGTTTCATTAAATTTTTGTTTGCATCTCAATTTTTATAATCATAAGAATTAAAACAAAGAATGATAACAAACGATCACATTTTAGCAAATGAGCAAAATAAATATGTGTTTATAAGTATTTTAAAGCAACAGTCAGATGATATGACATATTTTATATCCCACTATAAAGTCGGACAATATTGTCAATTATACTGAGCACTATGAGCCAATTAGAAAATTGTCACTCGTCCGGTTGTTAATAATTTTCGCTTTGTAGTGAGACAGGTATTAGTGTTCTACATGTGGCCTATGTTCAATGCAATTTCTTGGAATATAATGAGAAACAATTACGATTTTATTAGAATTGTTGCGAACTGTGCAAACGGTTTCATATTATTGTTTCAATAACCATTCGAATAAAAAAATTTTTTGTCAAAATGATATTATGAAGTTTCTTGAAGACATCTTAATAATTTCTAATTTTTTTATAATTTTAATATAATAGTATTTTTTCATTTTTTTTGTCCAAAATAAATATGAAATTTATTTTTATGAGAAATGAAGAATGAAAAATTCTAAATAAACAATATCTTAAATAAATTTTTAATAGATAACATTTTGTGAAAATTTAATTCTAAAAAAAAGTAAATAAAAAAAGATAGTATATTGTAATAAATTTCTTTAAAATTTATATAATTTTTTAAATGCTTTTAGAATATTATATAGAATAAAATAAAATGAAATTTGTTCTTTAATTTCTTATAGTAAATCCTACATACCCAAGTAGCAAAGCCAACATAATTGATGAGGGCGAAAATGTCTGAAGAACAAAGGTATAGCATTGACAATAAAGTCTGCAACAGATTAAACAAGATTTCAATCATCCTTCACATTAATAAGTTTCTTCAATCTTAGTAGATTATTGTCAATATTTTTAAAAAAACCTCATTTCTCTCAAGAGATAAAAAAAATAATTTTAAAAAATTTAAATATTTTTCTATATAATTTAAGAATTATTATCTTTGATATCTAATAGTTTAATGAAATATAAAAGAAAATATAAAAATAAAATTCTCAATCAAATATAAAGAAGAATAAAAAGAAATTTATTATTATATTTTTATTAAATAATGATTATCATATTTGTCTTAGAAATTTTTTTCTAATTTGAGAAATAATAGAAAAGATGATATACCATGCAAAGAACAGCAGGAGTAGGTGTGAGCCTCGAAATTTGAATCATTGTCAATATTTCAGGCATTTGACCCTCGCAAGCGCCAGCATAAAAAAGTCTGGAGGAAGTAAGAAGAATTCCATTTACGGCACCAAACGTGGAAAGAGCGACAAACACTGGTATCGTCCAAGCAAACATTCCGAATAAACGATTAGCAAAGGTCTGAAAAAAATAAATGAATAAATAAAATCACTGTTTTTTGTGTAATAAAGTTTTATTTTATAATTCTTTTTTCTTTTTATTTCATTGCAATAAAGAATTAGTTTTTTTATTAATAATTTTTTAATTTTTTGTTCTCACTTTTTTAACTAATAGAATATTATTTATAAAATATATTAATAATTCTTCTGTCTATTGACATTATTTGAAATTAATTTATTATATAAATAAAATAATCATAATTTTTTTTTCTAAATTATTGTTTAAATTTTTATATATCCAAAATCAATTTTTTAATAATTATATATATATATATATATAATAGTATATAATAATGAAGTAAGAATTTAATTTCATTCTACTTTTTGTATAAACTTACAACAGCGACAGCTTCACTGCCAAGAACTTCCACCGGACTCAGTGTCGTATAAAATGCCATGTTTGCAAAAACATAGACCGTGGTAACAAGGACACACGAGATTGCAATAGCCTTTGGTAAATTCCTGAAAAGAAAAAAAAAGAAAATATAAAAAAATCTAAAAATCATTTTCAATTAATTGTTTATGAGAATCGAAAATATTTAATTTTGTACAATAGGATAAAAGTTTTCAATTTGATCTCATGCAAATCGATTAAAAAACCCCCTATTTTAATTAATAGATACACGAAATTATTACAATAACATCTATTAATTATTGCATGAAACTGTGGTCAAAATTTTAGATACTCAAATAATTGTTTAGATGAATCTATTATTTAGTGTTATTTTATGTATTAGTGTTGATTTATGTAAAAAAAAGTTAGTTTAATAAATTAAAATCTTTGCAATAAGTAATAGAAATATTATATATTATAAATAAAATATTATGTCTTTCTAAAAATAAAAAAGAAAAAGATTTTTTTTTAAAAAAAAAGAAAAAAAATTATTTTACGTAAGAAATCAATAAGTGTAATTTTGTTTTTAATTTTTCTCTATTTTGTAATTTAAAAATAATTGAAAAATATATTTATCTATTTTAATAAATTTGTCAATCATTTTGTAATTTATTTCCAAATAAATTTAGAAAATGTTACCAGTATTATACTATGTATATATGTATATATTTCCTCAAATAAATTGCAAAATTATTTTTTAATCTTGCATTGTTAGTTTTTAACAAAGATTGCTTTTTTTTTAAGCATTCAACTAAATGACTTATCAGTCACTTACTTTACAGGATCCTTCAATTCCTCAATGATGAAATTCAAGTAGTTCCAGCCGTTATAAGCGAACAATCCCGAATAAAAGCTAAGTGCTATCGATGTCACTTCTGTCTTCGTGTTATCGAACGTAAAATATTCTGTATGTCCTATAAAATATGAATAAAAATGATTAATCATCATTCAATCAACAATTGATGATACTATTCTATAATATGTATCCATATTCGTTTCTTTTGAATACAAAGAAAAATATTTTTTCATATTGCTTTTGATAATTGAACAATAAGGAATTTAAAATGTATTTTTAAATAAAAATAAAAAAAAATTTTAAAGCTATTTTGATAAATTTAGATTGAAATTTGATGTCGTGAATATTTTTATAGATATTATAATAATTTATTTTTTCAATAGTTCCATGATTAATTTTTCTATTCATTTGCTTTGAACGTAATATATCGAAAGAAAAAGTTTCTCACGTCGATAATACTCAATTATATGTAAATACATATATATATATATATATATACTGTCCATTCGAACGCAATGAATAAGTCAATTTAAAACGAATCCTTGCACGCACCTCAAATTGTCCGCATCTTTAACCCACCTTTTTGATTGGGTAAATTGTCTCGTCCGGCAAGTGAAAAGACACCTAACACCGTTTTATACACTAGTTTCTTAAGGGTTGGCGTAGGTGGTGAATCATTAACGCGAACTTCCTTATTCTTGCTTAAGAAATTGCCAACACGTTATTTAATCGCGAGAAAACAACACAAATATTGACTTAATTTTTTACTCTCGACTAAATTCTTGTTATTAAATTAAAATGATTAAAAGTTAGATATAATTTTTTGGATTACTTATTTTTAGTTAATTATGGAATTATTTTTAATCAATCTAATTTTTATTAATACATTTTTTCGATGAATAATTGTTATAATTTTATTTAATATTTTTACAAAAAAAACTTTAAATTAACTCTATTGCAATAAATAATTTTCCTATTACTATTTTTAAGAAAAAAAAATCACATTAATTTTAAGATTCAATAAAAAAATTAAATTACAATTCTCAAATTATATTCTTTCTTATAGATTTAAATTGAAACTTTTCATTTACAGAATCTTCTATTATCACAATTTTTATTTCTTTCTAAAAATAAGATTCTTCATCCATTGATTTTTGTGTAAAAAGAATTCTTCTCTAAAAGAAACCAGCGACCGTTTAAATTTAGTTATGATCACAATTTTTATTTCTTTCTAAAAATATAATTCTCTCCTTCGCTAATAGTTAGATTTATCTATCTCAAAAAAAAAAATTTCTAATAATTTGCTTTTTCTAAAAAAATAAATTTCGTTTTTCGTTTCTTTCTAAAAATAAAATTTGATTAATCTATAGAAAAAGTATTCTAGATGAAAAATCAACAATCATTGCATTTTTTATTTTCATAATTAATCTTTATGAAATCAAAAACCATGAAAAATTCAAGTCAAGTCTTCCTCTGAAAAAAAGATTGACAATGCTAACCTGTTTTTTCTTTCCAATAATATTTCCAACGTTAAAAATCCATGAAATATCGATCCAGTTTCGAATGAATCGCTCGAAGGAATTCTTGGTTTCATATTTTCTTGCCAGGTTTAGAAAGAATGACGAGACAAAAATTGAACGTATATAAATTCCAATGATCGAGCACAAAAGAAACTCAATTTACGCGCGGGAGAAAGTCGATCTGATGCAATGGCATCGGTTGTTTCCTTCGTAGTATAAGTATAGCCGAAACAAGGGATTGAGTAATAATGACATGTGGTAACAAAGAAAAATTGCCTTCGTTTTTATTCTGTCAAATTACGAAAGTTAGTCTTAAATTATGGATAAATGAAAAATTATAAAAATTGAATTTATAGCGAATTGATAAACTTACCGGTGAATAATTGATAAGCTCCAGTGAAGATGATGATAAAAAGTGCGAGTAATTTTGCATATGTAAAGATGTCTTGCACTCTCGTTGCCCATTTTACATCCCAGCAATTAATAAACGCCAAAATACCTGGAAAATAAATATTTAGAGAAAATTAATAAAGTCTATAGATATAACTAATAATATTAATGATATAATAAAAAGATAGTAAAAATTTAGTTTTAGAAACACAGTTAATTATTAATAAAATTACTTATTTTTATTATATAAAAATTTTTATTTAACAAGAAAACGAAATGATTTATTAATGATAAATAAAATTGTATTATTTCTACTTAAATGAAAATTAATTACATTTCATTAAAAGATAATTATTAAGGTCATGATATATATTAAAACCATATATCATATTCACATGATTATTTATTAAATCAATGATCATTAAAAAATAACACACTTTCATTTAATCTTATTTAAAAAGAAAAATAAATCTTGTTATTCCATAAAGAAAATTACCTCAACATGACAATGCGAATCTATAACCTTTGATCAGCTTTTTATGTTTGTTAATAAATCGAATTAAAATGAAAAAAATTGTATCAATATTACGACTTTTCAAGATGTGAATGCATAAAATGATGACACGCGATTAACCGATTATCGAGAAAACTTACAATTATTATAATTGTTAAAAGGTTACCAAATGTTAATGAACACGCGATTATACAAAACACGTATAACGAGTTCCGTTTCTCGGCGATTGGAGATTGCGATTGCAATCGAGCTATTGCAATCGAATTTTTATTAGGTTAGTTTGCTACTGTTATCGATAGCTCTGAATATATATGAAGATATATGTATATAATATTCAAATATAATACTACTTCTATTATTTTATATTGTATTGAATAAAATAAATTTAAGTAAGAGTATAATTTTGTTAAATATAATTTTATTAATAGTTATATATTGTAATATACATATACAATGTATTAATATATTCGTGACATACACTTTCAAAGATTGATACTAGAATAAAAAAAAACAAATGTAATATATGAAAATATAGATTATAATTATTTATTAATTTTTATTTATTTATAAGTAATTTAAATTAAATGAAGCAAAACAGAGATAAATCTATTGCACTCATTTTATTTAATGCAAATTTACATTGCTTAATTTAATACGTTTAAGCCTTAACCTATATTTTTATATATTAACTTACGTATTTATTTTAATTTTTAAAATCGATTCTTTAAAGATCGACAAAATATATAAATATATTATATATGTATAACAAAAGTTCTATTTTTTGAAATATTTAAAATTATTGCTATTTAATTAATTTATTCTAAAAATCATGCTTCTATTTTACGATCTTATTGTCTTTAAAATTAATATATATATTCCTTAATTATTACCTTATCGATTTTGATTTTTTATAAGATTATTTTTTGTTTTAATCCTTTCAATATATATTGAATATATAATATGAAATATCTATAATAATAACAACTTTCATTTTCAGCATGTATTGTCCTCGAAAATAGCACGTATCGATAATACTGAAGATTAATAAGTAACTTTTTTTTTTTGTATCTGTTTGATCATTATCATTCTTCGTAATTATGCAGTTATTGAACTGTTTATTTATTTAGAGAATTACTCCAGATAAATCGATAATATTACTATGAAATAGAATTTTGCATACATTAGTCAAATGTATTCAGGCTAATTGGCATCAGTCTAACCAACCATGACAGTGTCAGGGATGAAATCAGCCATGAATATTATAGATCTATTTTTTGATAAATAAAAAAAAAACTAGTACTTTCGATAAACAGATACATTATGATAATCCTTTAAAATTATATAAATATCTCATTTGTCATATAGTTCTCTTTTTTATTAAAAATGACATGTTATATTTATTTTTTTACTCTAATCTATTTACTTTTTTCAGTGTTTTAAAATTCATATAGGTAAGAATTTTTAAAATTGAGAATGTAAAAAATGTTTAATTTGTTAGATAAATTGTTCTTTTTTTATTTAGTTATTTTTGTTTTTCCTTAATTATCTTATCTTTTCTTTATTTTTATTTTTTTAAAAGTTCAAAATTTATATATATTTTTATATTTTTATATAGTGTATTTTGATTAAAATTTATATTAAAATTAAAAATTATATTAGTATGATATTCATCAAACAAATAATCTTTTTTTTATTATTTAATTATTATTAAAATAATATATGAATTATGTTATATAAATTATCTTTCTTATAAATTATTAATTTTTTCTAATTTTATTATATTGTGAATTTAATCTATTTAAATTAATTTAAATTTGAATTTAAAAATATGTAAAAATATTTTATTTATTCAAGAACAAAATCATAATATTTAAAATAATAATGTGATAATATGATAATTGATAGAAATTGTTTAATAGGAGTAATTCTTGACTGAAAGGATAGGATAATTTAGTTTTATATAATAGTCAATGCATTTCCAGTGTCATGGCCTCGAGGGTCAAAATTCTGATGCAATCAGTTATAGGTCTTACGTTTTCAACGTGTACGAACCTCCTTTCTTAAACTTGATAATCAGCAATATTAAACATGTTTCAACTTCTTTCCAAATTTTTTAAATATCTAATTTTAAATATTTTTTTATCAAATTCAATTCCATAAATTTCTAAGATGAAAAAAATAAATGAATAAATGAAATATTTTTCTAATAGCTTTTCAAACTTTTTCTGATTATCTTAAACTAACTATTTAAATAATTTTCTGAAAAATTAAGAAAAATTAATAAAATTAATCTAAATTTAGATTAATCTCCAATAATATCAATTAATTAAAATAGCTAGAAAAATGATATTTCAATGAATTTTTATGTAAGTCAATGAATATTTTAAACTTTCAATCTTTGACTGAATCAGTGGATAGACAATAAGCTTTGAAATAGGAACGAAAGGAAGGTCATTGATCGCAATGGTGAAAATTAGGTGTACGAGTGCGAAAAAGATTCCGCAATTTGATTCTTGCAATTTGAGACCGGACTCCTCGTCCTTGATGGATTCGTTAGCGAAAAAAAATAAGAAATGCAGACTGATGCAACATCTCGAAGAATATCGCGAGACTTTCCGCCCTGTTCCCCTTCGTCCCCGACTATTCTTTCTTTATATTGCATTCGCCAGTGCTGTCCTCCATGATTCGAGTCCCTCGTATTGCTCTGATTGTTGCATTTTTTTGTTTAGAATGAATAGAAATGTAAATATAAAATGTTATAATTAAAAATTAATTATTCTATACTTGGGATAATAATAAAAGAATTTTGCAAATTATAATATAGCAATATAATTATTCAATTATTTTTAGAATTTGATTGTTTAATTATTATAAAATAAAAATTGGATTAAAGTTAGATGAATAAAATCAATTTTTGAAGTCATGATAAAGTTAGAGAAGGAATTTGTAAATTAATGAGATTATAACAATATAACAATTCAATTTGATTATTTAATTATTTTTGAAATTAGAAAAGAAGTTTTGAGTTTGAAGTTTTATAATGAATATGCTAATTCAGGATAATCAAATTAGAATAAAAGAATTATACATACTATATAGATTTATAAGATAATTTTGTATACTATGACTGTTAACATATGTAAATTAATTCTTGCAAATTTTCTAATAGTCCCTTTTAACTCCCCTATTCTTTCCATCATTAAATCAATGAATCAACCATTATGAATCATTTACTTTCTAACAATTATCAAATCAACTTGTAGAATATTGGTCATATCAAAATTAAGTTTAATAAGCAAAATAGACTAATAATTTTAACTTCTGTGCGGTTTACAATATTGAATCAAATTTTTCTCTTATTATTACAACTAATAACAAATATCAATTACCATCTCAAACATTAAAAATTATTAAATCACTCTATACAATGTACCAATATAATATCTCCATTGTGTAAAATGTAGTACAGAATAAAACAATAATTCCAAAGAAAGAAGATAAGATCTAGCTACTTCGGTGCAAAGTCTCTCTACACATCACTGGTCTTCCACTTCTTCCGTCTGTCCGTTCTCTTCGCGTCTCGGTTCCTCTTGGCTCTCCCCGGGAGTCCCCTTTCGGTGCATTATGCTGTTGCGGCTGCCAGTTGACACGTTATTAGAAGATTACGTTTAATCGCAATGAGACGTGATTGCTAGCACAACCTTTTCACTCGATACTACCATCGTCTGGTCTTTGGCGACGATCGAATCGTCCGCTTCCACTGGACGATATATCGAACCTCCGAGTGTATGTATGGTGTCAATGCCTCCGTTTCATGATGCCATTAACTTTTTCTACGACTTAACAAGTAGCAGGAAACGCGGTGTGTTTTATGTCTTTCTACTGTAGTTGTGTATTATGATACATAGGGGATAAAAAGTAACGTCTAAGGGAAAAAAGTTAAAAATGCGAAGAACAAGATTTTCTTCTAATATTTGGCTTGATAATTGCACGTGATGCAATATGAAAGATAAATTTTAATAATCACAATCTTGATAGAAATAATTTTTCCTGTTCTATAATTATTTGTAATAGGAAATATTAATATACTTCCACTGTGAATTTGAGGTTATAATTACTTTCTTTTTGAAAATAAAGATTTACGTAAATATAAGATTAGAACTGCAGAGGTATGTTTTCTTGACGACTATAATTTGTCAGTGTGGAACGTGGAAGCAAATGTTTCTATGAGTAATTGCACATTAGACCGACTAGATTTCCCTTGGACTTAATTATTGATCTTCATCACTAGAGTTCCATTCTAAGAATTAATTTTCCTCTGCACTACACGTACTAGGAACATATGATCGGGCATAATCTTGATGAAACAATGATAAAAATCAGGTTAATTGTTGTGACAAGAATTCTTCTACATATGTATACGTATATTTATAAAATTTATACTTCTCAAAAATGTAAGTTTCAATTAAAATTTCAAATTAAAAAAAATCTTCCTTAAATATCGATACCATATATCATTTAATTAAAAATAATGCTTTTTATAATTATATATCTTCAAAAGAAGATTAAAAGAAAAGAAAAGAAATTAATTTTGT